AGCCTATCTGTAGACAATTGGACACCCCCTTACAGAAGGGTCACAAGGAAGAGATGAGCCAGTCAGGGTGCAGGATAGTACCGATAAAACACACAACTTTCCTCTAGTTCCTTAATGCTTCCTTCCCCCCACTATCATGACCTCAATTCTACCTTACAAATCAGATTAGATCAGAGCATGCACACTGCTACAGATAAGAGCCGGCAACACAGGGAATCCAGGATAGATAAACCTCTCCGGGCCAACAAGGAGAATAGAGATACCAGGAGGATTAGGGGAAGGTGGGGGGAAAGGGGGAATCGATCACAAGGATCAGCATATAACCCCCTCCCAGGGGGACAAATAACAGAAAAGTGGGTAAAAGGTAACAGAGGATGATGTAAGATATGAAAATAATAATCTATAACTTATCAGAGGTTCATGAGGGAGGGTGGGGGGAGGGAGGGGGAAAATGAGGAGCTGATATAAAAGGCTTAAGTAGAAAGAAAATGCTTTGAAAATGATGATGGCAGCATATGTACAAATGTGTTTGACACAGTGGATGGTTGTATGGATTATGTTAAGAGATGTAAAAGCGCCAAATAAAAGTATTTAATTTTTTTTTAAGTACCTGTCTCAGAAATCCACAGGGAAGTTCTACCCTGTCCTGTAGGATTGCTACAAGTCAGAATGGACTCTTTGGAAATGAGCCTGTGTTTGGGATTTTGGGGTCCGTCGGTCGGTCTCAACTGTAGCTGCTCATCAGAACCTCCTAGACAGACGATATCAAATCCTGACGTCCAGGTCCCACCTCAGAGAGACTGGTGTCATCGGCCTCTGTTGGGGCCTGGTGCCCCAGAGGGTCCGAATGTGCAGCCTGGTTGAGCCCCGCTGGTAGAAAGGAGGGGGTAGGTAATCATGGGGAACAACGGTGCAAGGCTGGGAGGCTCTCTCTGGATTCTGGGTTGGCGATGCAGCTGAGCACAGGGGATCACGGAGTGGGGGGGCGGGGGGCATGACTGTTTCCCAAAGTGCATGGTCAGTTCTCAACGGCAGCAAATGACAGGAGGAGGAGGAACCGGCATTCCATCACCACCCCGTTTCCTACCACCATTCACTGGCTTTGCTACACTGGCCAGCAGCAAGGAATGCTCAACTGGAAGGCTCTTCCCCCAGGCCCACTGCACCTAAGACAAAAGGATCTTAAATGGCCTTGCAATGCCTCCCTGGAACATGGTCTGCGTCCAAGCAGGGAGAACAAAGACGGTGTGTGTGTGTGTGTGTGTGTGTGTGTGTGTGTGTGTGTGTGTGTCCCACGAGCCATGTGAGTCACAGGCTTCCCCCGGAGGCGGTGCAGGTGAGAACAGCACCAGGGAAGGCCAGTCTCGGGGCCAAGGCACTGCCATCCACGCCCAGAGTCAGTCACTTCTTTGTTGGAAGGGGCGGCTCTCCTGAGCAGTGGGGGATGTTTAATAGTGTCCCTAGCCTCTCCCTACTAGGTGACAATGGCACAGCACCCCCAAGTTGCAACAACTAAAACGTGTCCCCAAAACCAAGTCACACTCATTGCCATCGAGCCAACGCCGCTCACAGTGACCCTAGGGGACAGGGTAGAACTGCCTCAGAGAGCTTCTGAGACCCTGGATACTCACAGGGGTAGAACCGTGGCTACTCACAGGAGGAGACAGCCCCCTCTTTCTCCCTCGGAACGCCCGTGGTTTTGAACCTCTGTCCTTGAGGATCGCAGCCCACCACATGGAACCACTACGCCAATGGCCGGCTGTCCCCAGGAGAGCACATGGGCCTTGTAGGGGAACACACCGGCAGTGTTGGGGCGAGACACCCCATGCGTCTGGCCCCCTCACTGATGAAGCCCCTGCCTTCATGCTGTTGCAGCTCTGCCCCGTGATTGAGGCATCCTTCAATGACATGTACGCTGACCTCCTGCGCCTGGTGAAAGGTAAGTGTCCTGCTCGTTCTCTGCCTTACCCCCGTGCCAGTCGGGCTGCACCAGCCACCTGGACTCATCCACAGGAGGGATGAGCCACAGGGGCCCCCTGCCTGGGGCTGGCAGACAGGGTACCATACGGTGACCCCGTCACAGACACCTATGATGCACAGGCTGCTGTGTGAGGTCAGGAGGGGCTACGGGAACAGCGTGGGCTCCAGACCCCAGGACGAGTTCAAGCTCAAATCCCAGTTTTGCTGCTGACTTGTTTCATCCCTTTGGGCAAGCCCCTGCCCTGCCCTTCGGCCTCCCATCCGTCCTCTCCTATCCATCTGGCCTCCGAGGAGGCCTGCAGTGGGGCGGCAGCTACTGTCATTAAGTGTCATGGAGTCCACTCCTATTTACAGGGACCCTCTGACCTCAGACTGAAACGCCCCCTGATTCTGCGCCCGCGTCACAGCTGCTCCTGAGCCACTGCATCAATCCATCTTGTCGAGCGAAGGCCTTCCTCTTTGCCAGTCAGGTTGCTAGTGGGATTAAAAGCTTACAGGGGAGTTCTAGACACATACCGGACACTCTGTCTGGCACAGAGACCTGCTTACAAAAGTGCGCTGGCTGGCTGTGTGATGGAGTGTCACCACACCCACAGTGGACGTGAGGGAGGAGGGGCCGAGGGAAGAGACACAGAGCTGCGAGCAGGAAAGAGGCCATTTCCCCCGAGAGATGGGAGGATGCGGCTCCTGGGAAGTGGAAGTTGATGGAAGGAGAAAAATCACTGCTGCCATCTACCCTTCTGGAGCCGGAGTCGGCTGGTTCAAAGGGCAGCCAAAGAGGAGTGGAAAGAAGAGGCTGGCATTCACACACCTGAAGCACCTATGATGGGCATGGGCCCAGGCTCGGGCTGGGCATTGGACATACAGACTCCGTAGATGCCCTGGCAGTCAAAGGAGGAAACGGAGGCTCGGAGAAAATCAGTCTTTTTTTTTTCCAGGTTCAGAGAGGAAGTTCTCAACATGGGAGGCCTTGAATCTACTTCTGAACCCAATCAGGCTTGAGGCCATGGGAGCCCTGCTGGCATGGTGGTTAGCGTAGGGCTGCGTCAGCATCCACCCGACGGCAGTGAGTCTGGGGGTTCAGTTAGCCCTTCCTAGGTGCCAGTCCTGTCCAACCCTACGATGCAGTTGTTACTATGACTCCGTCATTTTAAGATGGGTAAACAGGTTTGGACACGCTCTCAAGAGCGATCAGGTTGGTGAATTAGAGAGGTAGCCAAAAAGAGGAAGCCCTTGACAAGATGGACGGACGCAGTGGCTGCAGCAATGGGCTCTAACATCAGAGTGATTGCGAAGATGGTGCAAGTCCGGGCAGTGTTTCATGCTGGTCTACTGAGGGTCACTATGAGTGGGAACGGACTGGACAGCACGTCTGGCAACAGCAACAAACAAGCGCAGAGCTGAGACGCAAGTAAACCGCCGTCGCTGATGCTCAAACCTAGGTTGGCTCTGCTCTCCTGGGCCCAGAGACAGAGCTTCCAGCGGAGTGGGCGGAGTCAAGGGCGGAGCCTGCAGCCTCCCAACCCTCCGCGCAATTCTGGCCCAACAACCCAGGGTAGGTGGGACGTCATCGACACCTGGCGGCCACCTGTGGAAATTACGAAACGAACAGATGTGTACAGCTAGGTACCACTATCCCAGACCAGACCCTACTCCGCAGGGAGAGGTGCTCGCCAGTCCAGCAGAGAAGAGATGAAGAGCTACAAGCAGTAATCAAGATTTTTGCCTGAACCATGAGTTCGGTGCTCACAGGGCCTTGAACAAGTCCCTCCACTTTGCTGAGTTGGATAAGCTTTTCCATCTGTAAAAGGGGGTAACCACAGGGCCTAGCTCCCAGGGTGATTGCGAAGGGTTTAGAACAGTGCCTGGAGCCTGTCGTGATACTCAGCATCCCCACCGTCTTCTCCACCATCCTTGCGCTCCGTCCACCCTGCCCTGCCCTCCCCCCTCACAGAACCTTCTTCTCCCCGAGCAGCACCCATCCCCCTGGGCTTTAACCACCTGGAATTTGATGTCCTGTCTCCTGCCATCAAGAAGAATGTCGTGCAGCTTAACCTGAAGGTGAGTGGCACAGGGTCTCCCCTGAAGGCCAAGGGTCAGGGGCTACAACACCAGCCACGGTTAGGACACGATGCCTGACTCAGAAAAGTCACACCCCATGGAAACCATCTCAGGAGGAAACCCGACAGATGGGATGGAAGGGCCCCACGCAGACTACAGGCCCAGGGAGATCACTTCTCCAACTCTGATTTCCCCCGATGGCAAGTTGGGCTGCTAACTGTAAGGTTAGTAGTTCAAAACCACCAGTGGATCTGCAGGAGAAAGACGAGGCTTGGGACAGTCTCTAAAACCCACAGGATCGGTTCTACCCTGTCCTGTCAGTCAGCATCGACTTGGTGGCTGTGAGAGGCCAGGGCTGTGTGCTCAGAGCCCCTGCCTGAGCCCAGGATTGAGACTCTTCACTGAGAGTTACACAGATCTGTTTCTCTCCCAGGCCCAGTGCTCTCGGGCTGTGTGGTTTTGGGCAAGTTTCTTCACCTCTCTGAGCCTTGGTTCGTCGACTCTAGGTTTCTTAGTTTATTAGCTTGTATGCCACCAGAATTCGTCCAGGAAATGTTTCTTCTTGGTTTCTTCGACTTTATAATAACAGTCACCAAGGAGAGGAAGAAATGGGACTGAGTAGGGGCTGGCAGACAGGACATGTTTAAATTAAAAAAAACAACTCACTGCCATCAAGTCAATTCTGACTCGTAGAGACCCTGTAGGACAGAGTAGAACTGCCCCTGTAGGGTTCTGAGAGTGTAACTCTTTACAGGTGATTTCAAACTGCTGACTTTGAGGTTAGCAGCCCAATGCATAACCCTCTAGACCAACACGGCTCCCTGGGGAATGCTAGCACTCGATAAATGTGGAGCCGCACATCCACACTGTGCTGAACTCTGAGAGAGGCCGTGCCAGCCCAGAGTCCTGCTCCTGTAGCTCCCTTGCATCAGGCACGTCTGCCTTTCGTGTTGCCGTTTTGAATGTCCCCTTCAGCCAAGTGGTATGAGATGCCTGAGTGTCCATTGAGGCACCTGAGATGATCTGGGGGTTGCAGGTGGAGCAGACATTGCCAGCCACTGGAGCTAACCAAGGTCCTGAAGTCTAGGCTTAAGCTTCCTGGGAGCAAATGCAGAACAGAACAGTGTCATTTCCTTCTGGGTGTGATAGGGTTAGCTGGGAAGTTCAAAGTCTCCGTCAGCTCCTGGCTCTGTGTCTCTTCAGGCCAAGTTGTTGGACTCGAAGGGCAAGGTGACCAACTGGTTCAACAGCTCTGCGGCATCCCTGACGGTGCCCCCGCTGGACAGTGCCCCTTTCAGCCTCACCGTGAGGCAGGACGTGGTGAGTTCTGCAGTGGCTGCCTTGGTCCCTCCAGAAGAACTGGCTGTCCTGTTGGACTACGTGGTAAGTCTCATCGGGGGGCCTCACTGGGGGAACTTCCTGAATCCAAGAAGGTGCGGGGAGCCCTGGGATCCCAAGTAGGACTCCCCTGCCGGGCTCCTTGACTTCCCTCCAGTTAGGGAGAGTCCATTGCTTACTCTGCCAGATCCAAAGTCCTCCACGTGAGGTTCCATTCCTGTCCTATTCTGCCCTCCACCAAAGGGCAGCCCTGGCCAGCCAGAGGGCATTTTAGGTGCATACGCATCTGTCCAGAGAAGGCAAATACCGCTTGGCTGTATCTGAGGCAATCCTAAGTGACCGTTATACCACTGCTCTCCACTAGGGGGCCCGGGACTCCAAAAGCCATCCTAGCGTCAAGTCAATTCCCATTGACAACGACTCTATCCGAGAGGATAGAACTTCCCCCGTTAATCTTTGCGGGAGTAGAAAGTCTCATCTTTCTCCCGTCGAACAGCTGGTGGGTTCCAATCGCTGATCCTGTGTTAGCAGCTCAATGACCATACCCATAACGACTCCGTAAGAGCTCCTCGGGGGTGGGACATGGCAGACATCATTCATCGGTCAGAACCTTCTTTCTGATTGAGCCTGGATGCTGACTCAGCCTCGAAATCCTATCAGTGCAGCGCAGCAGAGGACCACCACGGATCCGCTACAACACGCCACCCACTCCGTCCAGGTGGACTGCTGAGGAAACAGGGCAGAAAGTGCTGGCCCAAAGTCCTGGGAGGGTAGACGGAGTTTAGGTCAGCTAACAGGCAGCAAACACCCGCTAATTAAAGAGGAGAACTCCGAGGAGGAGCTGGGATGGGGTTGCCAGTAGCAACCACATTCACAACTGTGGTAAAACGTGGGGTCACACCTATGTGCCCTCAAGACACAACCCACAAGACCCTCGGGCACCACCACCAGCCACAGGAAAGGGTCCGGTAGTTGAGGGCCCCCCATGCCTCAGTAGCAGACGGGGCTGTTTCCCAAACAGTTGGCATGCGTGTGGCCAGGCCTGCCAGACCCACCAGGACCCCATCACCCTCTCTGTGGGGCACAGAAGGCCCGTCTGTCTCCCTTGGCCCCTCTGGCTGACCTGCTCTGACCTCCTCTCACCCTCAGCTTCCGGAGCTGGCTCGCCAGCTGAAGGCCAGCATCAAGACCATCAGTGGACAGGTTGGTCCATTTGCCCTCTGGCAGCTTGATGGGCATTCACTGGGGTCTCTACCTAGGCATCTGGGGAAAGACTGGGGGAGACATGGGAGTCGGGGTTGGGGGGGGGGGCTGCTTGCTTTCTCCCAGTGCTGTGAATTTATCAGAGCAAGTCCCTGTCCTCACAGAGAGGGAACAAGCCAAATACTTAGATGGATAATATTTCATTTACAGGAACAGTGACCCAGGTCAGGGTCCAGGGGTTATAGGGCATTCCTGGGACAACTGGTAATGCTGGGAGGTCAGGGAGGGACTCTCTGAAGGGAAGGGGAAGACAGGTAGATGGAACCGCAAAGCCCAAGGCTACGTGCGAAGTGGGAAGAGTGCTGTACACTCAAGGATCTTGAAGGAGGACAGGGACTGGCCAGAGCACAGAGAGGAAGCGGGCATGGGGGTGGGGGGATAGGATAAAGGAGCTGGGCAGGGCCAGGCCACGCCACATGGGACCACATGGGGTCCCAAGGGCCTGTGGGCCTCGGCCAGGTTGGGGGGGAGGCATCACATGTGAGTCTGATGTCTTTCTAGGCTGCGGATCTGTTGGGGCCCACGCAGATTGTGAAGGTCTTAATTCAGGACGCCCCTCAGCTCCTTCTGGGGCAGGGCAACGCCAAGATGGCTCAGCTGATCGTGTTTGAGATCTTCGCCACCAATGAAGTCCGCCGACCCTTCTTCACCCTGGGCATCGTGAGTGCGATGCCGCAGCAGCCTGGGGTTGGGGGGCCCTCCTGCTTTATAACACATGCCCACCAAGCGTGTTGCCCAACAAGGATGGGGGAGGGAGAAGAACTGTGAACCAAGAGTTTGGAGCTCTGGGGAGGCAGCCTTGGTCCTGTACACTTCTTCGGGAACTTAGGGCGGGAACTGAACTCCCATGCATCCCAGGAACTGCATTAGTACCGATTAAGTGAAAAGTCTCTGTGAGGTTGCCTTCAGGAACAGCTAGATCCAGGTGTGCAAGCCATCGTATCTTTGTTCTTCTCTCTCCCTGGCTGGCGGCCTTCATCTTCCAGCTGGCTTTCCCTTCACGGGTCCACATTGAGACAAGTGGACTGGCCTTTGGTACGCCCCCTTGTCTGTCCATCCTTAGTCACCAGTGGCTCCCAGTGGTCAAGTAGAGCATAGCCACCACTGCCCCCACAGCAAGGAAGGCAGCTCCGCTCAAGAGGAGGGAGAGGGGGGCAGGTGTGCCCCACACGCAGCAACACTGCCCGCAGCTGAGGCAGGGGCACCCACACTGTCCATTAGAGAAGGCAGGGGAGAGGAGCAGGCAGATGAGGCAGGCGCTGTCCTGTGACAGCAGACCACCGAGGCTGCCGTCGCGGGAAGACTCCTGTGCAGGCTCGCGCCGACAGGTGCTTACAGTGCAGTTGCTTTGCACAGCTGCCGGCACACGGTTGCAGGGGCAGCTTTTATGGAGACGACAAGGTGAAGGTGCCCCCAGAGCTGTGCAGCCCACTGTCCCAGCATCCTGGGTTAAAGGACAGTCACAGGCGCGCACACCAGCCTGGTGGGACCCTCCCTAGTCAATGGCAGGAACTTTTCCAGAGACAAGGTTGATCTCTGGGACAGCTGGCCTGGAGCCGGAGCCCGCCAGACTGCCCCCTGAGTCACTCCAGCCCAGAAGCCAAATTGCTGCCCCTCTTTGGACCCTGTATTTGAGACCTGGCTCAGTGGGTGACTTTTCTAGCAAGAACAAGGTTAGCAGTTTCCAGATGGCCATGTAGGCTCTTTGTCCCTCACTTCCTCAGCTCTCCCAAACCCAAACCAAACCACTGCCATCGAGTCAGTGCTGCCTCAGAGCGACCCCATAGAACTGCCCCTGTGGGTTTCTGAAAGGACAGCTCTTTACAGGAGTAGGAAGCTCAGTCTTTCACCCGTGGAGTGGTTGGTGGTTTTAAACTGCTGACCTTGGGAATTGCAGCCCAACACAAAACCACTAGGCTCCCAGGTTCCTCTTCAGCTCTACAATGCAGTAGCAATAGGACCTGCCTCATGGGCTTATAAAACTCTTACATCTCGGCTCAGCACATAGTGAGGGTGGCTTGATGCCGTCACTGTAGTCTCTGTCATGACGTCCCCACAACAATCCGAGGTTGGATCTGTCAAGTAAGGACTAAGGACATAGTGCTCGGGAAAGAAAGAGGAAGACCCTCCACGAGATGGACTGTCCAGTGGCTGCAGCAGTGGGCTCAGCCCTCACACTGGTTGGGACGATGGTCCAGGGCCGGCCGGTGTTTCGTTCCATTGTGCACAGGGTCGCTGTGAGTTGGAACCGATTCCGTGGCTCTGATCAGCAGCACGGCTGTTATCCCGTCCAGCAGATGAGGACAGGGAGGTCACTGCCTTCGCATGGTCGCAGAGCCTGTCACTGAGATTCAGGCCATGTCAGCTAAACCCTAGAGCAGTGGTTCTCAACCTTCCTAATGCTGTGACCCTTAAATACAGTTCCTCAGGTTGTGGTGACGCCCCCAACCATAACATTATTTTCTTTTTCTTTTTTTTTAACATTTTATTAGGGGCTCATACAACTGTTATCCCAATCCATACACACATCAATTGTGTAAAGCGCATTTGTATATCGTTTCTCAAAACATTTTCTCTCCACTTAAACCCCCGACATTAGGTCCTCATTTTCCCCTCCCTCCCCGCTCCCCCCTCCCTCATGAGCCCTTGATAATTTATAAATGGGTATTTTGTCATATCTTGCCCTGTCCGACGTCTCCCTTCACCCACTTTTCGGTTGTCTGTCCCCCAGGGAGAAGGTCACACACAGTTCCATGTAATCGGTTCCCTCTTTCCTACCCATTCTCCCTTTACCCTCCCTGTTTTGACACTCACACCACTGGTCCTATAGGGCTCATCCATCCTGGATTCCCTGACATTATTTTCATTGTTACTTCATCACTGTCATTTTGCTACTGTTATGAATTGGGCGACCCACAGGTTGAGAACCGCTGCCCTAGAGGCTCCTCACATAACCCCCACACCCCACGCTTGATGCCTCCTCTTAGCAGGACATGGCCTTCTCTTCCTGCAGGAAGCAAATTCAGAAGCTCAGTTTTACACCGAAGGGGACCTGCTTTTGCTCAACTTAAACAGCATCAGGTACGGATAGAAGTCACTGGGAAGACCCCAGGGATGGAGCGGGCACGCCCTAGGGCATCAGGTTTCTTTGAATGGAGAGCCTTCTATGGCTGCCCGAGCATGGGGCATTGAGCAAGGGGCAAGGCTGTCGTGGGCCTCCCAGGAAGCGGCCTGGCCTGCAGTCTCTGGCTGTCTCTAATAGAGTGTAGGCAAAGGGAAGGAGATGGAAGAGGCCTGGTCGAAGCCACAGGCCAGGCTGATCCACCCTCCCTCTTGCCCACACTCTCAGCCCTGGGCGGCCCATTCCAGGCATGCACAAGACTGAACCAACACTAGGGATTGGTGGCAGTGAGGAGACACCCCAATACCGTGTCCCCTGGAGCCCAGCCTGTTCTCCCCCAGCCCACCTGGTCCCTGCTGCCCCAGAAGTGGGTCACAGGGCACACCAGACCCTCCCGGGATAAATCTCACATCCACCAGGTGTTTGGATCGGCGCGTACATGACTGGTCTTTCAAGTCCATTTAATGGTGCCACATATAAAAACCCACATATCTGGCCCCGGGCCCAGATTCCCACACAGTAGAGCAGCAAGTACCAGCATCAGGAATCAGGTGTCCCTGTCAGAACGACCCTGTAGGACAAGGTGGAACTGCCCCTGTGAGTTTCCAAGACGGTAACTCTTGACTGGAGTAGAAAGCCTGTCTGTCTCCCATGGAGAAGCTGGTGGTTTCAAACTGCTGACCTTGCAGTTAGCAGTCCCACAAGTAACCACTTCATCACCAGGACTCCCCTACCCAGAGTAGGTGCTCAATAAACACTTCCTGAAGGAGGGAAGACAGGATCGAGTCCCCCGGGGACCTTTCTCATAAGCATCTTCCGTTACAGCATCGATCGAATCCAACTGATGAACTCGGGAATCGGCCTATTCAACGTGAGTACCAACAGCAGGGCCCAGCTGCTTGGTTCCCCAAGACTTGTCTTGAACAAGGTCTGCACAGGCAGCTCTCTGGTGGACCCCACGGTGCCAAGTCCCCAAGTCCCAGAATGAGGGGCGCATCAGGCAAAGGTTGCCCAGGACTGTGGGAAAGCTATGGCTCTGACCTTCGAGCAGTTGAAGCAAAGGGAAGAGGCCAGGCAGCAGCCACTGACTCCTGGCTCAGGTGTTTCCTGAGCACCTACTGTGTGCTTGCCCAACCGAGAACACGTGCATGCACGCGCACACTGACACACACACTCCCAGATACTCACATGCACAGCTACACACTCCTTTTCCTTCCATCAAGTCTGGTGCCTCCATTAGAAAGCCACTCCCAGGATTCACAGTCTCCTTTTGCTCGCGCAGACTCGCTCGCCGGCCCCTGGGCAGCCTCCTCCCCGCTGGCCCTCCGTTTCTCCCTCTGCGTCAGGCTGAACCAGAGGTTGCAGACTGGCTGAACCTTACCTGCCACTGTGTCTCCTTTGGTCCTAGGGTTTCGTTTTGTTTTGAGATATTTTTAAAGTATTTAAAGTTTTAAATATTTTGAAGTCCCAAAGCATCTAAAATGTCCACTGTTTCAACTCCTCGGAAGGAAGTGAAGTTGAAACTACTTTAAGCCTGGGAGGTTTCCCCGTGAAAACCAGGCCCCCGGCTCCCTCAGAGCAGCCCTAACCTCTGACGGCAAAGGACAGCATTCCCTCTGGTACCTCCTTCAACCCAGCCGGGCCCCGGGGGTGGCTGCCTGAGAGCCCCCTCTGCCGCACTGAGCCAGGCAGGGCACCTTGGACTCTGGCATCTCCCCAGCCACCCCTCACCCCCTGTTGCTGGGTGGTGTCTGTCTTGGGGACAGCTGGAAGGACAGGGTGACAGTGCCCTCTCTCCCCTAGCCTGAGCTCCTGAAGGACATCATCACCGAGATCCTGCTCGCCGTCCTGCTGCCCAATGAGAACGGTGAGTCTTTGCCCCCCCCTCCCTGTGTGCCTCCCAGGGTCCCCCTCTAGGACCCTTTTCATTCCTGAATTTTCCACGCATTTTCCTTTCAACCGCTCCAAATTCCACCAGGCAGTTTCTTCCCAGCAGTCTGCTGGAATTGACCTCGCCCCTCTCCCAACTCTAGAAAAGCCTCTCGGGGTCCAGGGCCTGGGCCACTCAGAGACACTGGGCAGGGGCCAGCCTCATCAGGCTCCCAGGTGTCTGCAGACACCAGCGCTCCCTGGAGCTGCCTTATGCAGAGCAGGGTTCAAGCCTGGTGTCCCCTCTTATGGCACTTCACCTCGGGCAAACTGCTTCATTTCTCCAGAGCCTCCGTTACCTGCTCATGTACAATGGGGCCCTAAGATCAACTTCCTGCAGTGACTTTGGCCACAGAGCAGTGCTTAGCACTTCCACTCCCACTGCTCAACCCTTGGCTTGTGGCTCGGGGAGGGAGCTGGGAGAGAAGGTGGGACTTCCCTCTAGTCCAGCCTGAGGCTATAGTGTGGCAAGCAGCCCACTGCCAGAGCAACCCACTGCCAGCCCTGCTTCCTCCGTTCCTGTATGTATTCGTGTGGGGAAGCTCAACCTGTCGAAGCCTCTGCTGTGGACCACGGGAGCCCCTGACGGCTCTTGAGCAGGAGTGTGAGGATGGGAGGGTGTATATGCGGTGAGCAGCCAGAAGATGGTGTCAGAAGCAAAGGGTGGGGAGAAGAGGCCGAGTGGGTGCTGGGGGCCCAGAGAACAGGCGTGGGGAGGCAGAGGAGACCCTCAGAATCCCTGGCAAGTCCCGAGGCAGGACTGCCTGTCTGTGACCACATTGTTGTTGCAGGCAAATTACGGGCCGGCATCCCAATTTCCATCACGGAAGCTTTGGGATTTGAGGCAGCTTCCTTGTCTCTCACCAAGGTGAGTGGGCTGTGGGGAAGTAACTGAAATGCCTTAGGGAGGGTACAAAGACCCAGGTGGAGTGGTTATGTGTTGGGCTGCGATCCACAAGGTCAGCAGTTCAAATCCACCAGTGCTCTCCGAGGGAGAAACATGGGGCTTTCTACCCCAACCAATGTGGTAGTTC